TAGTGGGGTAATGACAAAAGACAGCTGGAACACTTCCAAGTTTATTTGATCAAATTATCATTACCCTGATAGCAAAGCCAGATGAAGTCACTAAAGAAAAGAAAAACTACAGATCAATGAGCCTGGTGAATACTGATGCAAAAATCTTCAACAAAATACTAGCAAACTAAATTCAACAGCACATCCAAAGAGTTATAACCATGACTAAGTGAGGCTTATTCCTGGAATGCGAGGACACATACAAAAAGCAATCAATGTAATGCACCACATTAACAGAATGAAGAGGAAAATAAAAACCATATGATAATCTCAATTGATATAGAAAAAGCATGGGACAAGACGCAGCACTCTTTCATGATGAAAACAATATGCCAGGAATAGAAGGAAAACTACCTCAACATAATAAAGGCCATTTATTAGAAAGCCCACTTCTAATATCACTCAATGGTGAAAGACTGAAAACTTTTCCTCTAAGATCTGAAACACAGCAAGGATACTTACTCTCACTACTTTAACTAAACATGCTGTTGGAAGTTCTAGCCAGAGGAATTAGGCACACACACACACAAAATAATAAAAGGCATATAAATTGGACAGGGGGATGTCAAATTATCTGTTTGCAGGTGACATGATCTTATATGTAGAAAACCCTAGATATTATACACACACACACACACACACACACACACACACACACGCAAAGCTGTTAGAACTAATGACCTTAGAAAAGTTGTAGGATATAATATCAACATTCAAAAATGAACTGAGTTTCTACACACTAAAAATAATCTAAAAAGAAGTTAAGAAAATAATTACGTTTCTGCTAACATCAATAAATAAATAAATACTTAGGAATAAACCTAACCAAGAAGGTAAAGACATCTACACTGCAAACCACAAAAAATTACTGAAAGAAATTAAAGACACAAATAAACGGAAAGACACCCTGTGTTCATGGATTGGAAGAATTAATATTAATATTGTTAAGATGTCCATATTACACAAAAGGATCTACAGATTCAAGACAATTCCTATCAAAATTCTAACATGTTTTGCAGGAATAGAAAAATGTATCCTAAAATTCAGATGGAATTTCAAAGGACTGCAAATGACAAAAACAATCTAGTGAAAGAAGAACAAAGTTGGAGAACTCACATTTCCTAATTTCAAAATACATTACAAAGCTACAGTAATCAAAACAATATGGTACTGGCACAAAGACAGACAAATAGACCAATGGAATAGAGTAGAGAGCCCACCTAGAAATAAAGGGGAAGAGGACAGTCTTTTCAACAAATGGTGTTGAGAGAATTGAACACCCATATGCCAAAGAATAAAATTGGATACTCATCTTACACTATATACAAAATTTAACTTAAAATGGAGTGAAGACCTAAATGAAAGACACCAAGCCATAAAACATTTAGAAAAAAACATAGGGGAAAAGCTTCACAACTTGGCAATAATTTCTTGGATATGACACCATAAGCACAGGCCACAGAAGAAAACATAGTCATAAAAAAATAGATACATCAAACATAAACACTTTTGTTCATCAAGGGAGACAATCAATGAATGAAAAGGCAATGTATCATACAGGAGGAAATATTTGCGAATCATATCTGATAATGGGTTAATATAGATAATATATTTTTAGAAACTCTTACAACTAAATAACAAAAAAAACAACCCAATTTAAAAATGGGCAACAGATTTTAACAGACATTTCTCCAAAGATGATATGTGCTATGATCTGAATGTGTCCCCCAAATTCATTTCTTATAAATAATCCCCAATGCAGCAGTTGGGAAGTGGGGCCTTTTGGTCATTAGGGCTCTGCCACAAGAATGGACTAATGCCATTATAAAAAGGAATTTTGGGAGTGGGTGTGCTCTCTTCTGACATATCCTATCTTCGATTTGCAGCCTCCAGAACTGTGAGAAGTAAACATTTGTTCTCTACAAATTACCGAGTCTAAGGCATTGCGTTATAGCAGCATACACAGACTAAGACAATATGCAAATGGTCAAATATGAAAAGATGCCCCACATCACTAATGAGAGAAATGCAAATTAACACCATAAAGAGATGACCCCTCAGTCCCACTAGGATAGTTACTATTAAAAAAAAATTATTTATTTATTTTTTGAGACAGAGTTCATGCTGTTGCCTAGGTTAGAGTGTAGTGGCATCAACCTAGCTCACTGCAACCTCAAACTCCTGGGCTCAAGGCGATCTCCTGTCTCAGGCCTCCCCCAAGTAGCTGGGATTACAGGCGTGATGCCCACGCAAGTACCTTGGCTATTTTTTTCTAGATATTTAGTTGTCCAGTGTTAATTTCTTTCTATTTTCAGTGAAGACCAGCGTGTTCTCACTCTTGCGCTCGGCCTGGTCTCAAGAACTCCTGAGCTCAAGGCGATACTCCACTTGGCCTCCCAGAGTGCTAGGATTACAGGCGTGAGCCACCATGCCTGCCTTAAAAAAATAAATAAATAAATGACAAGTGTTGGCAAGAATGTGGGAGGGAAATTGGAATGGCTTGTGGCCACTGTAGGTGTAGGGATGTAAGAATGGCTCGGTGGAACAATTATAGGAAAAGTATGTTCTTTCCTCAAAAAATTAGAAGAGATGATGTACCAGTATGATCCAGCGCAATCCACTGTTCTGGGGTGAATATGTTGGAAAAGAGTTTGAGAAAAATGTCTGGGAGAGCATTGGTACGACAGCGATTGCTGTTGATAGCAGCGATTATCACAGATTAGCCCAAGAGGGGAAAGCCACCCAAACGTCCATCAACGAAAGAATGGATGATTTATGCATATGATGCAATATTATTCAGCCTTTAAAAGGAAGGAAATTCTGACACATGCTACAACAGGAATGAAACTTGAGGACATTATACTAAGTGAAACAAGCAAGCCATAGATAGACAAATGCTGCATGATCTCACCTACACGAGGTTATTGAGAGTGGTCAATTTGTAGAAACAGGAAGTAGAATGGTGGTTGCCAGGGGAAGGGGAAATAGGGAGTGAGTATTAATATTTAATGAGTATAGAGTTTCAGTTGTGCAGGATGAAAAGTTCTGGAGAGCTGATTCACAACAATGTGACATATACTAACACCTACTGAACCCATACCTAGACATTAGACTATGAAAAAATGGTACATTCTAGTTGTTGTTTTCAAGCTGCGGAGAAAGAGGAGAGAGTGTGTGAGCTGGAAGGAAATACGTCTGCAGCATGAAATGAGACCAGCATTTAATATTTCGCGAGTCCACTTCCCAACCATGTTTAAAAAAGCAGCCCGAGGGTTGGGTGAAGTGGAGTACAAGTGGAGGTCCCTGGAGTGGAGAAGGGAGAAGCCAGTCCTGGTGGTTCACAGGTCTCCTGGTGGCATGCTGAGACCTCCCAGGACGATGCTGGGTGGTGGGAGCTGTCTGGCAACCAGGGGGGATTCAAGGTGGACGTGCGAGGGCAGAGGGCATGGAACACAGCAGAGGGTGTCAGCTGGAGGAGGAGAATGGCCCACGCAGTGGAACCGGCTGCAATCATGATTCCAACCATGAGGATGACACAGCTCCCAGAGCAGGAAGAGCCCACCCTCAGAAGGAAAGCACGAAAAAGCCTGTTTCTGAGAGGACCGTGGGTGTGTGATGTGCCAAGAGGAGGGAGGGTGGGGTAGGGTCCACCAGTGGAGGGAGCCAGGTTGGGGGAGGGGCAGCGGAGTTGAAGGCAGGGAAGGAAGCAAGGGCCGAGGGGCCGTGGATGAGGGCCATCTCTGGATTTGCTGTTGGGACATAGGGAGGACAGTGGGGCCTCAGCGTGCCTGCCGATCCCCAGGCCCTTCCCTGGCGTGTGTTTGGGCAGAGCTTAGCCGGTCTGGTCCCTCTAAGGATGTCTTCGAGCTTAGGGTTGCAGCAGAAAGAAGGTAGGATGGAAGAAATGCATCCGCTGTGGCTGTCACAACTGACATGCTGTTTGGTCTTTTCTGCAGGGTCAGCAGACCAAAGCCCAACCCAGCCAGGTGGAGTTGTTTGTCCTCCTGAAAGGGTCATACAGGGGTAGGAGTTGGCAGTGAGGCTGGTTTGGAAACAGGGGAGTGTCCTTCTACGAAGCTGCTCAAGCCCAGCCTGCCAAGCCACTTCACATCCTGGACTTACCCCCCTGCGTTGGGCCTCCTTGGTCTCTACGGCAGGCCTCTCCACCTACTCAGGACTCCAAGGCCCATAAAACGGGAGAACACTGGACTCCTGGCGGTTCCATCAGAAACCTTCAGAGTTCTCTTTCCCAGAAGTCACTGGATCTCTCCATGGTCCTCTTCCCTTCCTTGCATCGTGGTTTCCGTGTTCCCGAAGCTTTTCCTGGCTCGGCCTCCTTCCCTTCAGCCCGGAGAACCTCTTCCAACACACACCAGTTTTCCACCCTTCCTCCACTTCTCTCTTCACTCTGTCCTTGTCCCCTGTTGTGAATGCACCAGGGGCCACAGGCTCCCTCTGCCTCCACCTCCCCTCTGGCCTTCCTTGTGCAGAAGCAAAGTCCCAGCCTCTGCCTCTCTCCTCTCCGGGCCTCCCTCACTTCCCCTTATCCCTCTCTTCCTCTCCAACCTCCTTTCCTCAGACCCTGGCTTGCGCCTGCCATGCCTCCCCTGCTGGAAGGAAGCCTCACTCCCTGCCCCCTCCCTGCCCAGCTTTTGCCAGCTGTCCTTCCTCCTGGCCCTCCCAGGACACCTTCTCCTTCCAGGCACCAGGCCTGAGCACCTGCCCTGAGGCTCTGAAACTCACTCAATTGGGTTTCTTCTCCCAGTTTTAGCCAAGGCAGTGGGGGAGAGAGAGAACAGGGCTAATCCTTCCTATTTCTCTGCTCTGTTCCTGTCCAATACAAGCAGCTTCCCCAGAATAATCCACCTTCAGTCAGCCCTCAGGGACCTCTGCTGGGCCACACCACAAATTGCCTCTCATTCCTCTTCTAGGCAACCTCTTCTAGCAGTCTGGAACCCTCACATTCCTCCTGAGCTTGTCAGGGCAGGTTGCTGAGCACCCCTCAAAGAGAACCAGCCCCTGACACATGCTTTCACTCTCTACTGCCCAGCGCTAATATAGTTCCCATCCTCTTGTTCCCCTACAGGGAATCCTTCCAAAACACGGAGGAGAAATATGAAAATATGGGGAGTAAATGTAAGTCCTTACCACCATCATTCCCACCTCCCACGCTTCCTTTCCTGTTTCCCCAAACACCCCTTCCCTGAGCATGTGCCAGTATTTTCCTCCTTCCCATTCCTCCCCCATCCCCCCAAAATGACCCTGGCCCTGACCTGGCAGATAACCTCACTCCTGGAGGCCCTGCCCATCTCTCTGCCCTGGCTGTCATAACACCTGACCTCAGCATGCCTTGATTTTTTTTTCCTAGGGTAATATGGAGCACCCAAGCTGAACCCCAAGGTAAGCAGTCAGACTAGGGCCTGAAGGAATAAGAGAAGCCTGGAGAAGGTGGGTGGAAGGAGAAGGACTGTGGTATGGGCAGGGCCCTCAGGTTGTAGCTTCCTGCTAAGATGGGGCAGCTCCACCTCTTCTGTAACTCCCTTATCTTTGGGTTCTTGCCGAAGATTACAGCATCATCTGTGCTTCCTTTGCCCTGTGCTATGGTTTGAATGTGTCAAGTCCAATATTCATGTTGAAACTTAATCCCCATCGTGGTGGTATTACGAGGTGGGGCCTTCACCCTCATTGGATTAGTGCCTTATAAAGGTCTGGAGGGAACTAGCTTAGGTTGTTTTTTCTCCTCTGCTCTTCTGCCAGCTGAAGACACAGCAGCCCTTTCTCCCCTTCCACCACGTGAGGACACAGTGCTGGCCCCTGCACAAGATTTGGCAACAAGGCACCATGTGCCAGGGAGACTGTGCCCTCAGCAGACATTGACCTGCTGTCACCTGGATCTTAGACTGCCAGACCCCAGGACTGTCAGAAATAAATTTCTGGTTTTTGTAAATTACTCTGTCTTGGGTGTTATGTTATAGCAGCACACACGGACAGAGACACCCTCTCCAGCCTGACCAAACTGGTACCAACTTCCTGTCATCCTCCCAGTGGCAGCCCCTGGGAAGAGACCTTCTTCTCTGTCTTAAAGGCCTAACCAGTGGGACAACCCTCTTCACCTGAAGCAAGACTGAATGGTGACCTCATCCCAGTAAGGTGTGCTTCCAAAGGGAAGGCTCACAGCTTCCAACAACAACCAAGGCCAGACACATAAAACTCAGAGGTCATCAGGTGTAGAAGGCACACAGGGAACTGAGAGACACAGAGCCATCTTCTCCAATTCCCTCTTCACCTTCCTGGCCTTTGCCCACAAAAATAAAAGTGCACCTGTATGTATCTAAGGAGAAAACTGATGTGACCTTCAACTTCTGTCTCTCCCACCCAAAAATGAACTCTAGTGGATAACTCCCACCCAAGATCCCTCCTCTAGTACATTGTTCAGTGACTGCCTCAGGGAAGGGAACATATATCTTCAAACGCTGGTAGCCAGCCCAGAACACAACGTCTGTCCCCCAGATCCAACCACACTCACACCTTAAGACAATAACTAGCTTGTATTGTGTTTAGTACTTTACAGGCATCACATGGTTTAGCACATAAATAATCGTATAACCTCATCTGAGGATGAAAACCAGAACCAGATGGTTAACATGCTTTTCCCAACAACCTATGGGTACTACTAAGCAGCTGAGCCAGGATTTGAACCCAGATCTCCCCTTCTGGATGCTCTCTCAGGACTCAGATCTCATGGCCTTCCCCAGATTCCTATGTTGTGAGCACCTCCCAACACAAACGATGACATGCCATCACAGTGACACCCAGGAGAGGGGAAAGACACCAAAAAGAAGCACATGGTTAGAGACCAATTGAACCAACAAACTGGTGACCTGCTTTATTAACATAAACTACACAACTCTGACTTGAACCTGCGAGTCAATTAACAACCCCAACACTTAGCAACTTCTCAGGGACCCACTGCGAGGCTCTCCGCTCCGTGCTCCAGGGACAGGAGAACAGGAAGGAGGGTGAGAGCACACAACTATTCCTCAAAGAAGGCCACAGTGAACTCCTCTTCGTCGTCTCTGTGCTGTGGCTCTCCTCTCTGCTCTCGCTCTTTTCCAATATCTTCCATGAGTAGCTCCAGGTCCAGGTCACTGGAGGCTTCATCTTCGTGGGGGACACTTCCAACCTCCTGAGTCAGTGATTCCTGGAATCTAGGCCCTTCCTTCCTGGCTGAGGCACAGGCCCTGGCACGAGCTGGGGGGCTCAGGCCCTGTGGCACCATTCTGCTTTCTATTTCCTCAGATAAGCTGGTTGCTGAGGCCTTGATTTCAGGAGTTTTAAATTTTTTCTTAGGGCCTAAATGAAAAGATGACAAAGTCGAGAGTCCTATTAGGTCAGTCTGTCCTCACCTTTTACAAATTGAACTCCTAAATTCCTATTTCCAAGAAATCTCTGGAAAAGATGACCTTTCACAGTACAAAGATTCTGGGCTTTGGACTCAGAAAGACTTGGCTTCAAGCCATGGGTCAGCTGTGAGCTCCATATGGGTCTTGAGCACATTTAAACCCTTGAGCCTCAGTTTCCTTATCTTTACAATGTTAAATATCCAGTCCTAGAGCTGTTGAAAGAAGGAAAAGGAACAAGCATGGAAGTATCTATCTAGCCAGCCCACAGCAATCCTCAACTAAGGGTAGTTCCCTTCTCCCTATCATTCCCCTGTCCCTGGATCAAATCCCATCAATAACCATTATGTTTGTGTAGCGTGTGGTGGGTACAATCCTAGAGGTACTCTTTTGTTCTAATTTTAATTCATTCCTTAAAGTTATGTAAAGCTGTAGAATTGTTAAGAAATGATCCAGCAAGAGGAGGATGAAGACCTAGACCTCGTTCCCCACAGTTCTTCTCAGGCCTTGAGCCTTACCTAGCTTGTCAGAATCTGAATTCCCGTGGCCTTCTTTCTTTCCTGTGATGGATGCAGGAGGAGCTGTGGATTCACTGCCCAGAGAGCTCTTCACTGTCTTCCGTTTCAGGGTCCCATCTCGTCTACCTGCTATGCCCGCATCACCCCCACACCCAAGGGGATGAAATTTCATTCATTTTTAAATTAATGACAGCTTGACAACCTGTCCAATGTCTTTGGAGGCCTGGCCCACAAGGGCTCTGCCTAAGGATCTGTAAAGGAAAGGGTTCTATATTGGTCTCTCCAGCCTCTGCCCTGCCAACCTCCTTCCCCACCTCCTCCTCATTTCTAACCTTTCTGTCTTCATTTCGTTCCTTCAGAAGTATTTACCGAGCTCCTACAAGGTACTGGGCACGGTGCTAGGTCCTGGGATTACAGAGGTAACAAGTCAGGTCTCTTATGTTCAATTCTATGGGGATGGCAATAAACAGACAGACAGCGGTCCATGTGTTATAGGGAAAAGATAAGGGCGTTCTGGGAAGGAATGACAGAGCCTCACTGGGTTCATGACACTCAAAACAAGACTTGGAGATGAGTGGGGTCATCTAGATGAAGACTGTGGGGAGACCCTTCCTGGCAGGGAAAGACCCTGTGCAAAGGCCCTGAGGCTGGGACCAACAGGGTCCAGAGCTAGTGGGTGGATATGCTTGAAATCAGGTGAGCAAAGGAGAGAGGAAAAGGGAATAAGGTGAGAGCAGCAGGCCACAGGAGGGATTTGGACTTTCTTACAGGGGCCAGAGTCTCCCTTTGTGAGTTTTAAGCAGAGCAGTGGAATGATCAGATGCATCCGCTATAAAGATCACTCTGGCTGCAGCTGGAGGAAGCTGTGTGTGTGCTAGTAGCTGCTGGGGCTGAGGACAGGCAGGAAGTTGCTGCCATAATTGAGGTGGGGGTGGGGAAGGGGGTGTCTGAGCCTAGGGGCTGGAAAGTAGAGGGAAAGAAGGGGCGGATCCAAAATATGATATGGAGGCAGAGTTGTTCCTGGCTGGGTGGAGAGAGGACAAGGACAGTCTGAAGGGTGACCCCAGCTTTCCAGCTTGAGGGACTAGGTGAGGGAGGTGCCATTCCCTGAGATGGAGATTGAGAAGGAGCATGTTCCAGGGGAGGGTGATGTTCAAGGGGTTGCTAAAGACAGCCCAAGGTGAGATGCCCAAGTCACAGACAGGGTGTCAGGCCAGCGGTGCCTCTCCACGGCCCAAGGGACATCTGAAGTGAGGGGCAAGATCTGGATGCAAAATACTGATGAGAGAAATCTCAGTGCTCAATCAGTGGAGAGATATTCTTAGTCATAATTTCAGTAGGCTCCCCTATATAAGTTGACCAGCTGATTTTAAAATTTACAAGCAAAAACTATGTACATAGAAAAGCCAAAACCTTTTTTGAAAAAAAGCAGAAAGTTCCAGCATCTATACTATTGGATCCAAGACTTATAGACAGCTATAGGAATCAAGGCAGTGAGGTGTAGGGGAACGAATAGACATAGGCCACTGGAACAGAATAAAGAGTCCAGAAATAGACCCATACATATATAGTCTATTCGTTTTTAACAATGGTGCAAGGGTAATTGGTCAAGGGAAAAATAATCTTTTCAACAAGTGGTGCTGAAAGAACTGACTGTCCATTTACAAAAAACTAAAAATGAACCTTGACTCTTACCTCCTTATATATTTTCAAAACTTAAAATAGATTATAGACCTAATGTTAAACCTAAAACTGTAAGACTCCTAGAAGAAAAAATTGGAGAATATCTTTCTGCTCTTTGGTTAGGTAAAGAGTTCTTAGATTCGATATGAAAACCATGATCTGTTAAAGAAAAAGTTGAGAAACTAGACAGCATATAACTTAACAACTTCTGTTCTTCACAAGATACTATTAAGAAAATGAAAAGACCAACTATAGACTGGAGAAATATTTGCAAAACACATATCTGATAAAGGATTTGTAGCCAGTATATCTAAAGAACTCTCAAAACTCAATTATGAGGAAAAAATCCAACTTTTCATAAATTGAACTAAAGGTTTGAAAAGATACTTCATCAAAGAAGAAACCCTATGAAATGAAGTTCAAAATCATTAGTCATTAGGCAAATGTACATTAAAACTACAATAAGGCACAACTACACCCCTATCACAGTGACTAAATTATTTTTTTGTTTTTTCGAGACAAGATCTCGCTCTGTCACATGGGCTAGAGTGCAGTGGCATCATCATAGCTAACTGCAATTTCAAATCTCCTAGGCTCAAGCGATCCTCCTGAGTAGCTGGGACTATAGGCACACAACACCACGCCCAGCTAATTTTTCTATTTTTTGTAGAGACAGGGTCTCACTCTTGCTCAGGCTGGTCTTGGACGCTTGGCCTCAGCAATTCTCCCACCTTGGTCTCCCAAAAAGCTAGGATTACAGGCATGAGCCACCCGCTTGGCCAGATAGTTACATATCTTTTAGGGTGCATGTGATGTTTTGATACAGGCATACAATGTGAATTAATCAAATCAGGGTAATTGGGTATCAATAATCTCAGGCATTTAACATTTCTTTGTGTTAGGAACATTCCAATTCCACTCTCTTAGTTATTTGAAAGTATTGTCGATTATAGTCACTCTGCTATGCTATCAAATAATGTTCATTCTCTCTAACTATCTAACTATATTTTTGCACCCATTAACCATCTTCAATTTACCTTTCTGGGCTTGGCTTATTTCACTTAACATAATGTTCTCCAGTTCCATCCATGATGTTGCAAATGGCAGGATTTCATTCTTTTTGTGGCCTTGTAATATTCCATAGTGTATATGTACCACAATTTCTTTATCCATTCATCCACAGATGGACACTTAGGTTGATTCCACATCTTGGCTATTGTGAATAGTGCTCCAATATACATGGGAGGGTAGATATTTTTTCGCTCTACTGAATTCCCACCTTTTGTGTATGTACCCAGCAGTGGGACTGCTGGGTCATATAGTAGTTCTATTTTCAGCTTTTTGAG